ACAAAAGCCTTCATTGTTTGATGTCATTGTAAAGAACATTAGGCATTAAATAAAAGCTTGAGATTTCAGGGTGTGGAATCCGATTGTAAAGAAGTATGATTAGCTGTCATCATTCCATATTTATGTCGCTCCACTATAACATCCTATGTAATCGAAAGCTAATATGCAAATAGTCCCCTTGGGAGTTCAAACGGGAGACCGGGAGTTCGATTGCTCGATATAGTGTGCACTGACCACCAGGGGGCGGCACGGAACATGGTGGGAGACCAGTGGCAGTGGTGGGGGACTGAGAGAGCGAAGGAAGGAGGAGGTGGGGAGGCCAGGAGGTAAAACACGTGGCAGTGGTGTGTGGGCAGTGAGGGAAGGAAGAGGCGGGAGGGGGGAACCTGATCAGCCCTGATTGCCAGCCAGGCCTAGGGACCATTCCCTGCACAAATTTTTGTGCACCGGGCCTCTAGTAAAATATAACAATAGATGATGGTATCTGTCATGAAACAAAGCAGGAAAGGGAAGTTGGAACTCCCAGGCGGGGAGTGGGCTGCACCTTCAAGTAGGGTGATTAGGGAAAGTCACATTTAAGCAGAGACCAGAAGGAGGGAATGAATTGAGCAGGAAAACATATGAAGAGCCGTCCTGGCAGAGGACACAGCAGGCGCAAAGTCTCGGCGATCGGTACCTAGAGCGCTGGGGGAACAGCAAGGAAGACGGTTAGGTCAGAAAGAGCAACGGGACACAGCAAAGGAAAAGTGGTGAGTGAGTTGGGGGTAAACATCAGGGCGGGCAGGATGTCCTGTCAGGCAAAGTGCATCTAGGAAGTGAAGGATCAATAATGGCAAATGTCACCAACAGGGCAGGTAGGGTGATGGACTGTTAGCACCATGGAGGTCCCAGTGGCCTTGACAGGAGTAGGAGAAAGGGCTGGATAGTGGGAAGACAGGGTGGAGGCAGCAGGGAGTGTGGGGCAGAGGCTTCGGGGAATGAGCAGGGGTAGATGCTGGCGGGGATGAGGGAGACAGGTAACAAGTGCTGAGCCGCAGTCCTTGAGAAGGTGGCCTGGATGGGAATGAGTGCCCAGTGGAGGAGGGTCTCTGACCACAGGGTTGTCAGTCTGTCATAAGTCACAGGAGCCAAGAGAGAACTGGGCACAGATGCTGGCAGATGCACAGATGGGGTGGTGAGGACTATAAGTGTGTTTTGCTTTGTTTTTCAATTAAATAATGTATTTTCATATAGCAACTATTCTAAACAGAAGGTGGCGATTTGGCCAGATCCCCTTTCACTCTTATTAACGATGGTATAGAAACCATTCATGTTGCCGAAACCGGTTTGGCTCAGTGGATAGAGTGTCGGCCTGCGGACTGAAAGGTCCCAGGTTTGATTCCGGTCAAGGGCATGTACCTGGGTTGCGGGCACATGCCCAGCAGGAGATGTGCAGGAGGCAGCTGGTCGATGTTTCTCTCTCATCGATGTTTCTATCTTTCTCTCTCTCCCTTCCTCTCTGTGAAAAATCAATAAAAAAAAAACACAAAAAACCATTCATGTTATAAATGTAACAAAACAAGCCCACTGTGAACCTCCCACCCAGACTAAGAAACTGCAAGATCCTGTGTCATAACCCTCTTTGTCATTCTGTCCTCTAGCTTTCAGGCTGTCGTAGGCACCTAAACAGGTGAATGCTCTGACCACTGACGGTGTGGCTGGTTCTGTACACCATCTGCCCTTGGAAAAGTGAAAGTATAGTCGCGATGAAACGGCAAACACAGCAGACACATTTCAGTCACCACAAATCACACACAGTAAGATTCTTTAGCAACACAGGTGAAGGGAAGAAAGGGAAGCCCAGGCATGGGGGGACAGACGAGGAGGAGGCGGGTCTCCCTGGTCAAGGGACAGACTGTCATTTGCCCCACAGCCCCGCCAGGCTTACTTCAGTCATGTGGCTTGACTCACACATCCACCCGTCCTTTCCTTAACTTTCAAAGGTGCTGACTGGCTCCAGGAAAATCTGAGACAGCGATACCTGGTATTCAGATTCTCCTTGAATCAATCTGGTTCTAAACCATAGCAAATGTGTGGTTACTATGTGGCTAATGGGTTAATGTTCTGAGACAACTAATGAACTTCAATGAGATGTGGTTCTGGGACGGAGGAGAGGCTGACTCTTCATGAAACTCAATGTTGTCTTCAATAGACGCCTACCTTCCTATCAATGTCCTTCCTTCACTTTCACCAATTCAGTGCTACTGGTTCTATTTCTTTCCTAAAAGTCTGGGTGGTTCTATTTCTTTCCTAAAAGTCTGGGTTTGCCATCTGTTTCCACGCTCAGACGTATTCCCGGGTGTTAGCTGAATAGGGTATAGGTCATAACTCAACTACAAAACAAAACTTAGAAGGCCATGCCCTCTCTGGACCTTTACTCCTCTGTTTCCATCAGATTCCCGGGGGCTCCCTGGCCCCCGCCCAGCTCCTCACCTGGACTCGGGTCCACAGGAACATCTGGAACCTTGGGGGCTGTGCGGCGCCAGCCACATGGCTCCTTCCCTGGCTCAGTCTGGGAGAGGACCTCGGGCTTGGAGATGGCGTAGTCTGAGGAAAGACATAAAGGTTAGCTTTTGCCACGTGCTTCCATTCAGAGCTGGGGATAGCAGCCCGGGAAACCCAGAATGGCCAAGACACTAAATTTCCTGATTGACACAGAGCAGTGTTCTCAACCACAAGCAATTCTATCCCCAGGGAGACATTTTTGGTTGTCAGGCCTGAGGGCTGGAGGAGAGGTGCACCTTGTGAGGAGGTCAGGATGCTGCTACCCCACCACACAGAATCATCTGGCCCCAAATGCCGCAGTGCCAAGGTGAAGAAACTCTGGTATAGTCTCTACATTAAGAAGCAATACATTTCTGCAAACTGAAATATAACATCACACCTTCACCTGCTCCATCCTCACTAAGGATGCTCACTGCCTTCAGGTCTGGGGTCACAGAAACACCCCGAGAGGAAGTGAGCCCAGGAAGAAAGAGCCCAGCAATTCTGGGGTATCCCATGAGGAGAGTGGCAACAGCCCCAGGGTCTGGGGGAGCAAAGTCTCGAGCATGAAGACAGTACTGGCTGCAAGAAGCATGGTCTGCTCACATTCTCCATTGACCCAGAGGAGCGTCACAGTCAAGGCCACATCTCTCAGTAAGAGAAAGCTAAAGAGAAGGCCTTTCTCAAATGTGGGTGGATGAGCTCCTGGAGTCAGTGGTAGGTGCCTTCTCTAAGCCTCAGCAGGGGAATGGAAACAGCCTTGCTCCACCCCTGGTTAGGTGAGGGGCCACCCCACCTCGGTCTGGTATCCTCTGAATTTCGCCAGGTGGAAGGGACCTTACAATTCAGTCACCCACTGCTCATCTTTAGGATGAAGAGATAACTCTTTGCATGGTCCAAGTTTCCAGTAATTTATATATCCTTGTGATAAAACCCACCAGCATGAAAAGAGAGATCTGAGGACTCCCCAAATAACACCGAACAGAGAAACGACTATCAGGCCTTACCCAGGGAGACCAGTGTCTCGTAGTTGCCCCTCCTCACGTGCTTGTACAGCTCCTTTTGCCATTCGTCCAGCTTGCCCCACTCCTGCTTGGAGAAACAGACAGCCATGTCATCAAAAGTCATGGGCAACTGGAAGCACAGGTGTCACGCATGCCATCCACGTTTATAGGCACAGCCCCTCGGGCTGCCCCACCCCAGGTGCCCAGCTTACCTTGGGGGCCTCCCCCTTGCTGCCCGGGGGCAGCCGCAGGACCCAGAAGTTCCTGTTCCTCAGCAGGTTCTCCATGTTCTCCAGCCGCCTCTGCAGCAGCCCGTACTCCTGCAGCAGGGTCCCCAACACGGCCCACTTGCCCTCCAGCTGGTTCCCGAACTCCAAGGTCGTCTTCTCACAGTCCGCCAGCTTCTTCTCGGCCATCCCTGTTCGACCTTCTAGGGAGAGCAAGCGGGCAGCCTGCGATTCGATCTTCCTCTCCATTGCCTGAATGGTAGCTGCCATCGTCCAGGGAGAAATCTTCCAGAAACAAAGAGACCAGCACTGATCATTCCACCAGTCATGTTCCGTGAGCCCAGCTGTCTTAGATGTGGGGGAACTGGGGTAGGGGTGGGAACCCAAATGTGAAAAGTGGGGATGCCCTGGGCCACATGCCAGGTTTCAGTCTAACGATCACCTCCTCTGGGTGTCGCACACATCACCCAAGTCTGGGCGGCTGCCGTCCCTCCAGGCCTCTGCAGCACGCCATGCACACCCCTATGGTGGCATTCACTGCCCTATGGTTATCTCCCGCACCCTCCTGTATGACCTCTGAAGGCTGCACAGGCCCTCTTAACAGCATGGCGCATGGCCTGCGGCAGGCGCCCAGTGCAATTCTGCTAAACAAATGATGACTGAGCACTACTGGGTGTTTCAGTGGAGAAATGGTAAACTGCAGGTTTACTAGAGGCCAGCCAGCACTTCCCATCATAATCACACAAGAACCTCTGCTGATGATGACCTAGCAAAAAAACAACTCAGCTGCTTCACTGAAATGGCACAAACAAGAGTGCTGCTCAACTGCTTTTTAAAAAGCAGCCTGTGTCTCTTTTTAATAAACATAAAAACCTAATGGTTAATTCCTCTCCCACAGGACAATCTGATTTGGTTCCCTCCCCAGTTACCCCCCCCCCCCGCCCAAATTAAAAATCACCATTATTGCAAATCTCCACCAGCCAAGTTAGGCTTTTTGCTATAACACGAGTCCCGGAGGCCCCTCGAGAGTCTGACTTTTTCTGTCACTATTCCTACCGCTCCTCCCAAGAGGAGAATTATGGTCTCAGACATTCTTTTCTGTGTGTCTCAGACATTCTTGTAGCTGCTCCAGACTGTGACACACCTTACAGATTGGAGGGGAAGGTAAGACAACGCCATTAGGTTTGACTTTGGCATGTGCAGCAACATCCCACAGACGTGGAGCCTCCCCATGCAGCTGACTTTCCTGTCTCTGGAAAGTTCACACAGTGGCTTGACTGACTGGCAGTTGGGGACACCGAGGAAAGGGCAGATTTTGCCTTGGGTGGGGGCTGGACCACCTGACTCACCCACATGTCAGGGTGTGTGTGTGCGCGTGCGTTGCGAGGGGGGGGCGGGGGGAGGTCCTCACTATTCATGCCTCTTCCTGGCGTGCCCATTGCCTGAGGACCCACAGTACCTTACAACATTCTGGAAATGACTCCTAAACAGATGGTAAGTGACTATTTGCAAAATAAAGAAGTGACTACTAGGAACC